CCGTGTGCAAAACACACTAATCAGTTGTGTTTCTTCAAATAATATCACTACAAGTTTTTCCATACTATTTATATTAAAATGTGTTATTTTAAAGAGTTACCACGTATTAATATTTTGAAATAAAAATAAAAATATAATGCTTCTTTCAGATCATTAATGCAATAATTTTAAAAAAATGTTCATAAAGTTATTTTTTCTTCGGGAGTAATAACATAAATTCACATAGTATTAATATAACATAAATTTATGATTCTTTAGGAGTACTTAAAATCACTAAATTAAAATATTAACAAATGCAGAAAACTTCTCAAATAATAAAACAAATAGATTTTATAAATTTTTCTATCCGAGAGCAAGTAATATTCCATTGAAATATTAACATAATATAAAGTTTTAATATGTCTAAATTTGGATTTTTTCAAGAACAAAAATATTTTCTTCAATAATATTAGTAAGTGTATCTTTGTACTTCTTCAAAGCCACACATCTATTCAAGAAACATAATAATATATTCTTCAAGAATATTAAAATTTATAAAGTTGTGCTCTTCAGGAGCAATAACACATAATATAATATAAACATATGTTTATTTAGAAACATTCGTTAAATCACAAGATTTAATTGATCTAAAATAAACCCACGGATCATGTAGCTCTAGTTTTACGAAACAAAAAATTTGTAAGTATAAACTTACTAGAAATAGAAAGATAATCATTTGATGAAAGTAATCTCTAATTCGAAAAATTTATATAAATTTGAATAGTCTCAAATTCTTTAAGAATCTGAAAAATTTTGTTCTCAAAGAATGTACGATATTCTAGCCAACTCAAAATCTTCTACTATTCACATAACATTTTATCACAAATGAACAACTAGGTTTTGATCTTATCCAATGAATTTGAAGAACAATGAGTATGGACTTTCCATCCAACATTCAAGATGATCGGACCATGGGGCAATGAGAACGTTGGATCACAGCTATGCAGATTGTCCAAATTTTGCGAATTTTCGACATTGTAGATCTCGAATTTTCTCTAAATTTTGGGTGATCTCCTTCGAGTTGATAAAGTGTCACTGTTATAAAATTATAAAGAAAGATGCAGGAAATTAAAATCAGAATAATTTCCCAACACAGGATCTAAAAAACAAACTGGGAGAAGAAGGATATTTCTTATTGATGAACTAATGAATAAAAAACAATAGAAATGTCAGCTATTTATAGCCA